CAGCACTGTTCGTAATAGCAAAAGACAACCTAAATAAACATCCTGAGGGTCTTGTTGAATAAATTATGGTAGATCCATACAATGGGATGCATCTACAAAAGAAGAAAGAGGGGGAGGGGGGGAAGAATGAGGTAGTTTTGTATGTATTAATATAGAACAGCCTCCAAGATATATTATTCAGTGAAAAAAGCAATGTGCAGAAATGTGAATAGTATGCTATGATTTTTATAAAATGTTTTAAAAGAATGTGTGTGTGTACATATTGGTAAGTGCATAGAGTATATCTGGAAGGATATACAAAAAACTAGTTGGAGGGGAGAGGCCCCTGGGGAAGGGAACTAGCCAAGGAATGAGATAAGAGGGAGACAACGTTTCACTCTATATCCTTTTGTATCTTTTGAATTTTGAGCAGGTGTATGTATTACCTATTCAAAAGTAAATATTTTAAAACCATATCTATGTACAATTTTGTGTTCTGATTTTACACTTATTTTATAAATATTTCTCTATAGCATATTCCATATAGTTAATATAACATTAACAGTTTCTAGGAGCTTTCTTCCCTCTTCTGTTATAAATAATGATCTAGATATTTTGTGTCATTAATATAATACTATATTCCCTCATGCCTTCCTGCCTTACACATGTTCTTCTTTCTGCTTAGAATGCCATACTTACCCTGCTCTCTCCTTGCCCGCACATTCAATGTGCTCATCCTAACAGTTCCAGTTCAAATACTAACAGCCTTACCTGATTCTCAGGAATACTTACTCAGACAGTACTTTGTATACCTCCAGAATAGAGATTTTTTATTTTATGGTAATTGACTGCTTATTAGTTTTTCCTCCCCAAAGAATACGTCTTTTCATCTTTGTTAACCAAATCCTCTGACACTCCCAACCCTTGCCAAGATCTTACTAGCTAGTAGGTTGCAGTTAAAGTCCATAGTTGCAAAATCTCTAGGGATGATACCAACACCTCAGAGTGTCCTGTGCACACATCAGCCCATTCCAGGGAGTGGGTTTGTTATCTCATTTATGTCCCTGCAGCCCTACTGTTTGTTCCTGCAGTCTCTCTTGGTGTTTTCAGAAACACTGGTTCATTACTGATAGCTGTCTTCCCTTTTAGGGCCGTGAATAGCCCCTGCCACCACCTCCATCCCCTCAGATCACTGGTGCTAATTTCACATTGGCCTGGAAATGGTAGAAAGCTGGTTAAGGATGTGATTTCTAGAGCCAGACTGTGCTTGGGCTTGAATTCCAATTCTACCATTTAGTGTCTGTGTGATATAGGGCTTTCTTTCATTGAACCTGACTTCCTCAGTTTCCTCAAATGTAAATGAGGCTAATGAAAGTAATTATCTTAAGGTTGTTGCCAGAATTAAAGGATCTCATTTTTAAAAACGTTTAGGACAGTGCCTAGCACACAGTAAGCATTGTATAAATGTTAGTTTTTATCATTCACTTTACCAAGTTCTCTAAGTGTGAAACTAATTCCCCACGTCATAACAGAGATCAGGTTACAGTTTACAAGAATTCTTTGCTGAAGTCTCCAGAATAATTAAAGGCAATCATAAAGGAGAAAATTTTACAAAAGTGGCCACTCATCTACACTGATCCTCTATAGCAGCAGTCCCCAACCTTTTTGGCACCAGGGACCGGTTTCATGGAAGACGATTTTTCTACGGACCGGTGCGGGGTGGGGTGGGGAGGGGTTCAGGCGGTAGTGCGAGCGACGGGGAGCGGCAGATGAAGCTTTGCTCACTCGCTGCTCATCTGCTGTGCGGCCCAGTTCCTAACAGGGTGCGGACCGGTGCCGGTCCACGGCCCCAGGGGCTTAGGGACCCCTGCTCTATAGGGTGGCTCCCTCCCTGTAGGAGAACCAGTATTTCCCTCACCATTCTGAGTAATATTCCAGAATATCAGAGTCCAGACTAACCCCTTAAAGACCAGAAGGAGGAAAATTTTTAATTCATTTCCTAATCCAAGGTTTATTTTCCTAATACAATATTTATTTCTCCTTTTGTCCCAGGAGCTACCTTTCTCCATGATGACTGACAATGGGATTTTCAACTACTTTCAGAGGCTCCCTCATGTACTCAACAGTACTATCCCATCAAAACCATGGTCTGACGTTAGTGTGTTTCCCAGAATTGAGTTTTCCGATCAATTCTGTCAGGTTCCTTTTTATAGCTGTTTTAGGACAATTTCCATGAGGGCAAGGACTCTGCCTGCCTTGTGCACTACGGTATTTCCAATGCCTGAATGTAGTAAGAACTCCATAAACACATGAATTGTGTATGAATGAGCCCTTCCTTTGAAAAACGATGAAGCTCAGGCCTACACACTCTTCTTTCAGTCTTCTCAACCTTAGCTTCTGATCTCTTGTGAGAATTACTTAAAGCAAGAATCAGCTAAATTGATAATTTAAAAAGAAACTTCTCTAAAGAAGGTTCTCTCTCCAGAGATGCAACTATGCTTACAATAAAGACAGCTGTCGTGCATTATGAACTCTGCTTTACAAAGTGGTCTAATAAGGTGATTTTCAAAAATAAAAGGTAAGATGCAGATTTAAGGTGACAGCTTGTCTGATGCTTACCTAACTCATCAAGATATTCCTTTATTTTAAAAATATTGATTGAGCACTTACTTTGTGCCAGGCATTACAGTATTATTGTATGAACAAGACTGACACACAGTCTCTACTGTGAGCTTACAGTCTTTCAAGACAATTAAACAATAAAGTGTGATGTGTTGTTACCATAGGGGAAGTATTCTAAGGCTAGAGGTCTTCTGCCTGCACTTGAACAAGAGCAGCTCTGCACTGATCATTTTTATATTTTGAGATTCCAAGTGAGATTTGTTGTTGTTGTTGTTAACCTGGCTCCAGTATTACAAAAAGTTTGAAAATTACTGCCATATATATATATATATGTATATATATACACATACATATATATATATAAATTTATTTATTTTTACTTATTTATTTGTGACTGCATTGGGTCTTTGTTGCTGTGCACAGGCTTTCTCTAGTTGCGGCGAGCAGGGCCTACTCTTCGTTGCAGTGCGTGGGCATCTCATTGCAGTGGCTTCTCTTGTTGCGGAGCACGGACTCTAGGCACGCAGGCTTCAGTAGTTGTGGCATGCAGGCTCAGTAGTTGTGGCTCACGGGCTCTAGAGCGCAGGCTCAGTTGTTGTGGCGCATGGGCTCAATAGTTGTGGCTCACGGGCTTAGTTGCTCCGCGGCATGTGGGATCTTCCCGGACCAGGGCTTGAACCCGTGTCCCCTGCATTGGCAGGCGGATTCTTAACCACTTAGCCACCAGGGAAGCCCTGCCATATATTTAATGTGAATTTCATTCTGAAAATCTATTATGTGAATGAATGAAGAGACACTGCATATATAGTTACAATCACCCTATAAGCATTACTGTCCTCCTTTTATAGGGGAGAAAATGCAGTTCACAGAGTAACTCTCCAAAGTCTTTTCCCCCCCGCAGTTTTACTTCACATAGTTTACACATGTGTGGTTAAGAATGCTTAAGATCTACTCTCAGCAACTTTCAAACATACGATACCATTTTATTAATTATAGTCACCATGCTGTACATTAAATCCTCAGAATCTATTCTTTTTATAACTGAGAGTTCGTATCCTTTGACCTACGTTTCCCCATTTCTCTCTCCCCCGTCTCTAAAGTCTTATGACAATTAAATTGCAAGCCTCATTCCGAATCTCTGCACTCTACCACACCACAGGGCCTACACCCTAAATGGAATAAATCTTTATTTCTCTAGGAGAAAGAACTCTAGTGAGATATTACAAGCTTTGCCTTACCCTTATCCAATATCCAATATTTCAAAGAAAGAAATATATAGCATGCAAATAAAAGACAAAAACCACATCATCATCTCAGTGAATAAACAAAAAGCGTTTGGGAAAAAAATCCATATCCATTCATGATAAAAACCTTCAACACTAGGAAGAGAAGGGAACTTCCTTAACTTGATAAAGGGCATCCACGAAAAGCCTACAGGTAACATCACACTTAAGGAAGAGACAATGCTTTCCCTTCTAAAATCAGAACAAGACAAGGTTGTCTCATCTCAACACTGTACTGGAGTTTTCAGCCATTAGAAATTAAAGTTGTAGATAGACTATAGAAATGATGATTAATGGGATTTGATCCAAAATTACTGCCATGGGTTGGAACGATTAACACTGCAACAAGATATGTAAGTTAAGGCCAAAAATAATGTGCTTAGGTTTGAAAATCAACTGGAAGATACAAATTTCGCGAAAGGATTACTGGGTACCTACTGTGTGCCATGCACTAGAGATAAGAGACATGATTCCTTCCTAGATGAGTTCATTCCAGACCCAAATACCTCAGCTACACTAAGGCAAGTCTTCCCGTGACCTCTAAACTCCTTTGGCATTTATTAAGAATTTTCTAATTCAATTGTGTTAACGGTTCAGGGCTGAGACTGTATATACTTTGATTCTCCACGGTTCCCAACAATTCTCAGGCGTTTACTACCCTCCTAATGGATCACTGCATTGGCCCCCCGCTATCTCAGCTGAACTACAATAAGTTAAAGAAGTTTATTCGAAGCCGAAACATGTGAATCGCGCGTTTTAGGATGACAGCGTCCAGAAGAGCGCCTAGAACTGCCTGAAATTGTAACAACTCTTCAAGTGTCCGGAAGCGTTTTCTGAGATTACGTCTCTGAGCATGAGCGGAAGTCACCCTTTGAGCAATCTGCGGTTTAATTATATTCAGGACAGAGACATCCGTTTCCATTCTTTTCTTCTCGTTGCACCCATAAGCAAGTGATCAGGTGACAAATTTCTCTTCGTTACTATAAAATAAAGATCGTATTCAAAGAAGTTTCAAGGCAGCCCAACTCCCCATCGTCCAGTAGTAAAGATGGAGGCGCCCTGAATGTAAACTGCAGGTAATACCACTTCCGTGTTTCTCTTGCGCCCTGGTCCAAGATGGCGGATGAGGCCACCCGGCGTGTTGTGTCTGAGATCCCGGTGCTGAAGACCAATGCCGGACCTCGAGATCGGGAGTTGTGGGTGCAGAGACTCAAGGAGGAATATCAGTCTCTTATCCGGGTCAGTTGTGCTTCTACTGCCAACCGCGTCGCAAAAGGGTTGCGGGTAATCTGGTGTCCTTAAGAATAGGCTCCGTGTGGAAGCCGCTTCCGGTTTTAAAGTTTAACTTTACGAATTCATAGATATTGGACGACTGCGGGGCTGGGGGACTTAGGGAAGCGCGGTGGGGAGGAGGTGCCTCCCAAGAGACTCAGGTTAGGAGCCACGGTGGCGCCAGACTTTCTGACTGAAAGCAGCAGTTATTTGGGGGATATGCCGCCCCGGAGAATGACGTGTCCTCCTGGCCCCAGGTGATTGCTCTCCTGGATGTAGGGGAGGTGGTCAAAAGGAATTCCTGGAACCCTAAGTCCCAGTCCGCGTCTCTCCGCTCCCTCTTTCACTTGTCCTGAGGGAGGAATCCACGTTAGAGCTGAAAATTCAGGTAGATACTAGTTGCAGAGAGACAAGGAGCTGAGCTCAGGGTTAGGAACGAGCCATCTTCTGAGCTAATCTCCCTTCTGTGGAAGGAGAAGAAAATTTGACTTTCTTGCGGTGGTCTCTGTTTCAAAGGCTAGCAGCTTTCCTGATGCATGTATTCATTCACTAAAAAACATTTATTGTACGCCAAGTACCTAGGAAGGGCATCCAAAGCCGAATAAAATTGAGCCTACGGAGGTGGACAGAAACATATCATGATAATACATTATGTGGAGAAACAGGGAGAAGGAGTCTGAGAAATTGCTAAGATGTTTTGAAGCAGGAGGTGAGATACCGAAATCCAGCTTGGGTCTGGTCAGGGAAGGTTTCCTAGAAGAGGCAATGCTTGAGCTGAGGCTTAAAGGGTGAACATAAGTTGGCCTGATAAAACATGAAGGTAAGAGAAGAACATTCAAGGCAAAAGGAACAGCATGAGCAGTCATAGAAGCTAGAAACACCATGACATATATGAAGAAACACAAGTAGATCAGAGTTGTTAGAGCATCAAAGTGTGGCAGGGAGTGGTAGATAAGGCTTGACAAATAGATTTGAGCACTTGAATTTTATCTTGGAGGCATTGGGATACCTTTAAAGGATGTTAAGCGGAGGAGTGACACGATGAGATTTGGGTTTAGATCAGTCACTGGCAGTAGAGAGAAAAATAGAATTGACAGGGATAAGATTGAAGTTAGGAGGCTGTCATTAATCTAGGCAAAAGAAAGATGATGATCTCTAAACTTGGGAGTTATGGTGAAGATAGAGAGGAGAGGTAGATTTTAAAGAATATTCAGAAGGTAAAATCAGCAGGACGTTGTAAAAGATTGGTTTGTAGAGTAAAGGAGAAGGAGGGTCAAGGATGATTCCCAGGTCTTTAGCTTGGGTGACTGAATGCTAATACTGCCAACTGAGATTGGTGCAGTGGAGAAACAAGTCTGAAAGACTAGAGGGAAACGGACTGCCAAGTTTGAGGTACCTGTGGAATGAAGGTAGAAATTTCAATACACAGTTGGATAATGGAGTTGAAGCTTTGAGAAAAGCTCTAGATTAAAGATAAAGATTTAAAAGTCATCAGCATATGGGTGCTTAAGAGAGGAAGTAATCACACACTTTTCTTTTGAGGGAAGGGGGACTGCCCTTGACCTCAACACTCCCCTCAAAGACCTCACTCTCTTACTTTTAGTACGTGGAGAACAACAAGAATGCAGACAATGATTGGTTCCGACTGGAGTCCAACAAGGAAGGGACTCGGTAGGCAGACCCTCTTGGGAGGTGTGAGGGTGGGGATGCCACATAGCTTGAGCATTTTGGTGTCCCAGAGCCCACTGCTAGGCCTTTCCTGCCCCTTTCTGGTCTCCACTCCCACAACTCCAGAGTTCCCCAATTCCCAACCCACGAGTCTCCCAGGCTGGTGACCTAAGCCAAGAAGATGTCATCTGAGTATTAGAAGAATGGGAAAATTGCACTGAGGTTTGGTCTGTGTTACAGGTGGTTTGGAAAATGCTGGTACATCCATGACCTCCTCAAATATGAGTTTGACATCGAGTTTGATGTGAGTATGATGGAGTGGGAATTATGGAGGTTAGTAGAACAGGAGGGATTAGGTGATTGTTAACAAGCTAACCAGGAGGGACCAAAGATAACTTTTTAAATGGGAGGGAAAAGCTGAGGTTTGAAACAAGCATAGGTTATAGTTGTTCATCTCCATGTCCAGAATCCTGGTGTGTGACTGCTGCTTGATGAGTTTATAGAACATTTCAGTTCAACCAAGAAATGTGTATATCTGATTAGATTAGTTCCTTTCTATTCTGATTCTGTTTTATTAAAGCTTTATAATTCTTCCAGATTCCTATCACATATCCCACTACTGCTCCAGAAATCGCAGTCCCTGAACTGGATGGAAAAACAGCAAAGATGTACAGGTAGGACCGAATAGGAGATGGGAAAAGGTCAAAGAAGGCCTTGGGGAAGAACTCTTTGAGGCAGGAGTTTTCCCAGAGTCTGCAGGCCTAGAGAGACTCCAGGTCTCCCTCTGCCAAGCCTGGGCAAAGCACTTAGCTGACCTTGTTCTCAATTCCGATCACCAGTAGTCTTCCTGTGCTCTCAAGAGCCTGCTGTGCTTTATGGTATACCTTGCATGTCAACACCTTCTGATCATCTTGTCCCTCTCATAGGGGTGGCAAAATATGCCTGACTGATCACTTTAAGCCTTTGTGGGCCAGGAATGTGCCTAAGTTTGGACTAGCTCATCTCATGGCTCTGGGGGTAAGTTTGGAGTATTTGGTATATAAGGGGAGAAGGGGTTAGGTCCTGAGTGGTATAAGAAAAGTAACTGAGAGTAAACAAGGAATAACAGTGTTTTCCTTTGGGCGTGCTCTCCTAGAATATCTCTAGGAAGGAGCTTCTGATGGAATAAGAGGCATTGATTGGGTGGTAGTAATCTCACAGGATCTCCCTTGTATTGCAGCTGGGTCCGTGGCTGGCAGTGGAAATCCCCGATCTGATTCAGAAGGGAGTGATTCAGCATAAAGAGAAATGCAGCCAATGAAGGATCAATCCACTGAGGCAGGACAGAGGGACCTTCCATAGGCTACGTTCCTGTTTTCCTGTGCATCATTCTTTTTACTCATCTAACCACTTCCCCCTACACCCCTTCACCCATAATTGTTACTAAGTATCAACAGTTGCAGCAGACACTGCTGAAAAAAACAACGGTATTGCTGCTGAATTTCTAAGTTGGGCTACACAGGAAGAAGAAAGACTAGGGCCTTGAAAAACCAAAAGGCAATTTATATCCCTTGTCCAGGTGGAGCAGTGTGAGGTCCTGGAGGGATAGGGGGTGACTGAAAGTGGGTACATAGTCTTTTTGGTTTCTGGAGATAACTCATCAATAAAAGCTGCTTTCTCCTGTGGCTTGGCTTGTGGTTCTCATTGGTGGCTGTTAATAGAGGGTGAGCAGGCTTAGGGTCAGCAGGCTAAGACCCAAGGCACATGTACAACTATACTAGTTCGGGAGGGAAGGGGAAATGGAGGATGCTCTGTTCTGGAGCTGGGGAATGAGAGGAAATCCTGACTGCTCTCCCTGCTGCTGAGATCTGCTTTTGTCCTTTAGCAGGGAGCCTACCGCTTTGGCCTGCAAGATGCTTGACGACTGGTTTTGCAGGGCCAGTATTCCCTGCCCTCCAGGGATCTTCCCAACCCTATGTGGATACTTCACTGGTCTGTGGGCTGGACCCAGGCCCTGCATTCGCACCCCTGCTCCCTGGGAAGGATCTGTGCTGCAAGCCGGGGGGCCATACTACGATTGTCAGATCTATATCCTTTAGAGCCACGGGGTGGGGAGATGGGACTCTACTTTAGGGACTTGCTTTGGAGCGATGGTTTAAAGACAATTCTTGCCAAAGCTGGGAACTGGCGGTCCTAAAGTTGGCTGTGTTTCCATGGTGTCGGCAGCGGAGCCTAGGGGGCGGGTTCACGCAAGCGCCGAGGAAGCCGGTGGGCGGAGTCTGAGTGTGGGTGCGCAGGCGCTCTGAGAGACAGTGAAGCCGGCGGCCGGTGGCCGGGCGGGACCAACAAAGATGGCGGCGGCCCCTGCGGTGGGAGAGATCTGGGCACTAGCTGCGGCTAAAGCTGCAGCCGGGCCCGCGGGGGCGCTGCACGAGGGTAGTAGGGGGTGGCCCTGAGCTGGGGCCTGGCCCCGGCTGGCCTACCCCGCCGCCTCACCCGGGGACAGGTACGGTCCGGGGCGTTATGGTGTGGGGGTGCCGAGGGAAGACTGTTCCAGACCCGAGAGATCGCCCACCCCAAAAGCAGAGGTGCTGGGGGCCCGGCAGGCCTGCGAGAACTGGGCTGGAGGGACCAGCATCCATGGATCGTGTAGAATATGCCGCTGGACCCCGTAGCCAATCAGCAGCCTCGGCCTTTCTGCCCTCGAGGGGGGCGGACCCGGTTGAAACCTCCTGTGGTGGGAGATGTGCAGAGATTAGGGGTCAGGGAGTTAGTTCGTCCTCCCTCCCCGCCACAGCCCGTGAGCCCCAACACCACTTTGGAGCTCAGAGGTGGGGGAGGGAGTAACCTTTTTAGTGTGCTTCATTTGCAGCCAGGAGGGGCAGGGGTTTGAGAATGGAATGCTGTCCTTGGGGCTGTTATACTTGCATCCACACCGCTATTTGACCAGAGGTCCCAAGTGACCCAGAGCACATCCCACTTGACTAGGCAGGTATGGGGGAACCTTCATGAGCACCTAGATTATAAAGACAGCCGAGATAGGAACTCTTTATCATTGGCTCTCCAGTAAAGCAGATTCTGCAGGAAGGGCGTGAGGAATGTAGAAAGAGTCAAAGCCCTGCCTGCTATCATTCATTCATTCATTTACTCAATGGATACTAAGTGTTTACTTTGTACCAAACACTATACTAGGCACAGGGGATACAATGATTGATACACTAGACATGGTTCCTGCCCTCCATGCATGTAGCTAGTATGGCAGCCTAGGTTCCCACCTCCCTCCATATTCAAACGCTGATCGTCTCTTCTCCTCTCAGGTCCAGCCTGAGTGTCCACAATGCCCCAGGCTTCTGAGCACCGCCTGGGACGGACCCGAGAGCAACCTCTTAATGTCCAGCCCCGAGTGGGATCCAAGCTACCATTTGCTCCCAGGGCCCGGAGCAAGGAGCGCCGAAACCCAGGCCCTGGGCCGAACCCTGTGTTACGACCTCTGCCTCCTAGGCCAGGTCCCCCTGAGGAACGGCTCAAGAAACTGGAGCTGGGACGGGGACGGACCTCAGGCCCTCGTCCCAGAGGCCCGCTTCGGGCAGATCATGGAGTTCCCCTGCCTGGCTCACCACCCCCAACTGTGGCTCTGCCTCTCCCATCAAGGACCAACCTAGCCCGTTCCAAGTCTGTGAGCAGTGGGGACTTGCGTCCAATGGGGATTGCCTTGGGAGGGCACCGCGGCACTGGAGAGCTAGGGGCTGCACTGAGCCGCTTGGCTCTCCGACCTGAGCCACCCACTTTGAGACGTAGCACCTCTCTCCGCCGCCTTGGGGGCTTTTCTGGGCCACCCACCTTGTTCAGCATACGGACAGAGCCCCCTACTTCCCATGGCTCCTTCCACGTGATATCTGCCCGGCCCTCTGAACCTTTCTACTCCGATGACAAGATGGTGAGGACTTGCCAGCACACGCCTTCCATGCCCATGTTCCTCCATGCCTCCAGCTTTCTTGCCATCATATGGCTTTCCTTTCCCCTTTTTGCCAAGTTCCTTTTTCACCCCCTTCATTTCAGTAGTTTGGACTCTCCTCTCCCTTATTTAAGTAACTTTAAGCCTCATAGACCCTTTCCAGGGTTGTCTGTGACTCCCCAGAATGGTGTGCCATTTCAGTCCCCAAGGAATAAACCATTTGGAATTCTTTGGGTCCCCAGGCCCTTACCTTCCCTTGCTGTACCTTGTCTCCTAGGATGCTGCCTAGGCCTAATTAATCTCTGGAGCTGAAGAGGGGCAGGCTCAGAACATCTGAGCTCGTGCGGTTGCCCATTTCCTGAGCTAAGTGAGCTAGGCTGATTGCAATTGGAGCCGTCAGGAGAGGGTGCAGGAAGGGGCCACGGGTGCAGGAGGGGGCCTTGGGGGTAGCAAGGTGGGGGTGGGGAGCAGCTGGGCAACCATGCCAGTGCTTGGGGAGTTGCCCCAGGAGCTGCATCGCCGGCTAGCTGGGCAGAGGAGTAAGTGGGGAATAGGTGGGACAGCCATGGCTGAGTCCGTGGTACACTCAGCTGTGTTAGGCTTACTGCTCATGGCCATTGAGGTAGGGAGACCCTAATACCCAGTGACGGAAAAAGTGTAGAGTTTGAGGGTGAAGGATGGGGTGGGGAAGGCAGTGGGCAGCATGCTGTTGAAAGGTTAAAGCGCCAGGTGGGATATATGGGAACGTGCTGACTGTACTCTGACCTTCCAGGCTCATCACACACTGCTTCTGGGCTCTGGTCATGTTGGCCTCCGAAACCTGGGGAACACGGTGAGAGCCATTCTCCTGTCTTTTCTAACAGGAATGTGAACTGGTGTTGGAGGCAGGCATGGGGAGGGAAACTTGGGGAAGGACAGCACTGAAGTTCTCCTAAGGCTTCCTAGGCACTGGTCTGGGGAGGTAATGGCACTGTCTTTACTGCTCCCCAGTGCTTCCTGAATGCTGTGCTACAGTGTTTGAGCAGCACTCGGCCTCTTCGGGACTTCTGTCTGCGAAGGGACTTCCGGCAAGAGGTGCCTGGAGGGGGCCGAGCCCAAGAGCTCACTGAAGGTGGGGCGACAACTCCTGCTCCCTTCTTTCAAGTCCTCTTTTCCCCAAACCCTTGTAGGTCCATCTGCCAGTGCCAGTGGCCCCAACCCTGAAAGCTGGCAGGTGTATCTGTTTTTCCCAGTGCCTGATTTCCTAGAGGTTGTTTTCTACCTTCTAAGCCTCCTCTTGCTTCCCTCTTCTAGTCATTAACCACTGTTTCCCTTCCCCACTCCCACCCTAATAGCCTTTGCAGATGTGATTGGTGCCCTGTGGCACCCTGACTCCTGTGAAGCTGTGAATCCTACTCGATTCCGAGCTGTCTTCCAGAAATACGTTCCCTCCTTCTCTGGATACAGGTGGGAGAGCTGGAGGGTATGGGATTTCTCTCTGGCCTTGTCTGGGGGTAGGGCCAAGCAGCATCATTCTGAGCCTTGAGACGCTCTTCATCCAGGAAGTGGGGACAGGGGTTAGTGACTGTGGACTAGGCAGGGGTCAGTTGCCCATGTTCTTTGTCTGACTGCAGCCAGCAGGATGCCCAAGAGTTTCTGAAGCTCCTCATGGAGCGGCTGCACCTCGAAATCAACCGACGAGACCGCCGGGCTCCGCCAGTCCTGGCCAATAGTCCAGCTCCCTCCCAACCCCGCCGTGGAGGGGCTTTGCTAGAAGAACCTGAGTTAAGGTAAGGTTGCTCCCCTCCTTCTCTTCCGCAGTAGTTTATCAGCAGCATTCATCCTTCACAGAAGTAAGCTAGTCAAGATTGAGGATGTAGTGTCCAAGGAAATACTTAGCTCAGAAAATGGTTTGAGAAGCAGTGCAGAAGTAGGAAGAAGGCAGGAGGAGGAGGGAGGCTGAGGGGCACAGATGGAGGCAGAAGATAGTGCTATGGCTGTCACCATATTGACGGAGGAGGGGATAATTAATTTACAAGGTACCTAAGGGGTCTGAAGCCAGGTGGAGGAAGACGGCATGTTCTTCCCTTGTCGACATTCCTTTCTTTTCCTCTCACCTTGGATTTCCCTGGAAAGTCTTCTGAAGCATTACTCCTTTGTCTGTTTCTTGAAATTTAGAGAAGGAGCTGGGGTATGGGTGGGGTACAGGGCTCTGTGGATCATTTCAGTGGTGTTGGGGGTGCCCGGTGTTCCTGCTGTCTCATGGGTGCTCCCCACTTCCCTTGATCTGTCCTAGCGATGACGACCGAGCCAACCTAATGTGGAAGCGTTACCTGGAGCGAGAGGACAGCAAGATTGTGGGTATGGAACGAGACAAAGTGATGGGGAAAGTTAGTGTGTGGGGGATGCGGGCTTGGCAGAAAAAAATCAATCCTATCTAGGGGTGTGGGAATAAGACTGGATGACGAAAATGTGGAGAAGTTGTGAGGGGTTTGTGAGGAGTGTCGGTGGTGGGAAAGGAAGCGTCAGGCAAACAGGTGGGAAGAGATGGGAATCCAAGGAAGCATCTCAGGCATCCCACAATGACTGTTTCTCCTGCCCCTTTGCTTCTATCTAGACCTATTTGTGGGCCAGTTGAAAAGTTGTCTCAAGTGCCAGTCCTGTGGGTATCGCTCCACGACCTTCGAGGTTTTTTGTGACCTGTCCCTGCCCATCCCCAAGGTGGGATTCCAGAAGATTCCAGGGGTGGATGGGACATGGGTTCTGTGACCCAACCCTACCCACCCCCAGTGTGGGAGGGAACCCTGTGGGTCTCTGGAGCAGAAATGAAGCTTGGATTAATTGAGAAGCGTTGGAAAAGGAAATTCAGAACATGCTGACCCTTCACTCTCCTTTCCCCCCAGAAAGGATTTGCCGGGGGCAAGGTGTCTCTGCGGGATTGTTTCAGCCTTTTCACCAAGGAAGAAGAGCTAGAATCGGAGAATGCCCCAGTATGTGTGGGTTCACGAGGGATATAGTACGGGTGGGAGACCTGGGGGGGCTCCATAAGGGTAAAAGTGGTTGCATGATGCCTTAGTATGAAAAATAACACTTATATATGTCTGGGTTTGTGTAGGAGTTTCAGATATGTCCTGGGATTCCCAGGGCAGAGGGCAGTGGCCCAGAGGATACAGAAGTAATAGGGAGCATAGTAAATTTGTATGTGAGTCAGGGTGTCAGAAAAGCCAACGGAGGTGAGGAGCACGTTAACCTTATATTATTTGACATTTACTCAGGTGTGTGACCAATGTCGGCAGAAAACACGAAGTACCAAAAAGTTGACAGTACAAAGATTCCCCCGAATCCTCGTGCTCCGTATCCTAATCTTCAAATTCTTATTTCTCCCATTCATTCTTTTTCCTCATTCCCCATGTTTGCAGAGGTTGGACATTTGGGAATTCAGTTTTCCTTAGGAAAAGCCTGCCACTCCACCTTTCCCTACCAAGCTCCCCATGTGTGTTCAGGGAGGGGAGTGGACAACATTCAATTCCTCAGCCCCCCTCAGAGGCCCTCTGCCTCCCAAATTCTCCTTAACCAGAGCTTAGATCTTAATCGATTTTCAGCCTCCCGGGGCTCCATCAAGAAAAGTTCAGTAGGTGTAGACTTCCCGCTGCAGCGACTGAGCCTAGGGGACTTTGCCAGTGACAAAGCCGGTGAGTCTTGTAGGGAAGGTCCTGAGGAGCTCCCATGAAGGGGAGGGAGAGAGTGGGAGTGGGGCACAGCTCTGACTATAGAATTTGGTCTTCTCTAACCCCGAAGGAAGCCCCGTATATCAGCTGTATGCCCTTTGCAACCACTCGGGCAGTGTCCACTATGGCCACTACACAGCCCTGTGCCGGTGCCAGACTGGTTGGCATGTCTACAATGACTCTCGGTGAGAATAGCCTCCTATTCAACTCCTGCCCCATTCCCGCTGCAGCCCTGACACCTTTCCCTAATACGGAGCCCCAGGAGAGCACAGTGCCTGGTAAAAGGCAGGCGGTGGGTGGGTGTGTGTGTGGGTATGGGGGGCGTCTTTCCTGATCACTACCGGGATGCTGTGAGGTTGATCATGTGGGGAGGGGGGAATATGCAGGAATGATCACACCTCCTTCCCCATCTCCCTTCTTCCTAGTGTCTCCCCTGTTAGTGAAAACCAGGTGGCATCCAGTGAGGGCTACGTGCTGTTCTACCAACTGATGCAGGAGCCACCCCGGTGCCTGTGACATCCCCTTTAAGCCCTGGCACCTGTGAAACCCTTTCAACACCCTCAAGCCCCCAGGCTCCCCATTTACCTCAGAGACGTCTATTTTTGTGTCTTTTTAATCGGGGAGGGGGGAGGGGGTGGTTGTACCTCCCATTATTTTTTTTATTAAAAAATACCCTTCTACCTGGAGGCTCCCCTGTCTCCCAGCCCCATGTACAGAGCTCCCCAGGCCCCTGCCCGTGTACAGCCCCCAGACCCTCTACAGTCTCACTTTTTTTTTGTGAATAAATTTATTAAGAAAAAATGATGTCCTTATTTGTATTTGTGCTTAAAGGGGGTGGAGATACAGAACTAGGCCGAATTGGAGTCTTCCTGGGACTCAGTTCCCTCTCTGAACAGATGGGGGCGCGCTCAAAGCCGTGGGGGTGGGAGTGGGGATAGAGGTGCCGGACCAGGACCCGTTGATGCCAAGGTTTGACCACGCAATGAAGGTTTACATTGGGAGGAAAAGGGAAGGCGAGTTTGAGACTCGTGAAGCTGTAGGGAAGCCTGGAGCTAGAGCGCAGGCACTAGGTAGACGGGTTTTGCCGGCGTAGGGGGCTGCCCCCTCGAGAGCGAGGTGCCCAAGGACCCCTGTTGATAAACACGGTACGTTGCCGGGCCGCCCTAACTCCCGTAGGTCCAGGCTGTTGCTACCATCAAGGAGCTGTTTATGGAGCCACCTCCCCACGGACCAGCCTCCAGTGTCCCTATCTACTCTCCCTACAACCAAAGCTCATGAGGCCCTCCCTCCAGGGTTCTCAGCCTAGCTGGGCCTGGGAAGCTCGAGCTGGGGAATGCTAACCAGCACGCAGCTCTCGCCGCTCCAGCCTTGAGGGGAAGTCAGTGATGGATACGGCTACTCTCTCCAACCTGGCATCGAAACAGTTAACTAACCTCCAGCTCCACAGAGCAACCTTCTACAGGGGCCAACCCTCCGCCTTTGCGGGAGGAGGAGCCGCTGCCGGTTCAGTGTTTTCATTGGTGAGTGTGATCGGGGCCTTCCAGGACCCACCAATCCAGGAGCAGGAAGGTAAGGTCGGGAGTGTGCCGCGAGAATAGAGTGGACGGAGAGTCGGAGAGACCGAAAAACTGGGAGGGGGGCGGGCGGTGGAGGCAGCGGACTGAAACTCTAGGCCTAGTGGGGGCGGGCGGGACGGAAAGCGCTTCAGAAGACTGGCGGCAGGTCGGAGCCCAGAGCCCTGCGCTAGCAGATAGCGTGGGTGTGGCCCTTATCCACCTCCCAGCCCCCGCCCCTGGGACGCCGGCGGCATGATGTGTTGAGACCTCTGTCTCCTCCTTTCCCCTCATTTTTCTCGTTCCTCTCGTGGGTGAGTCCTAGGCCCTGGGCGGGGACCTCACAGTTCCACCACCCCATCCGCGGGCTCGGCCTTAGTTTCCCCTAAAGCAGCGAATGGCCGGGGGTGGAACGCGGAACCTGCAGGTCTTCTGGAGAGCAGGGTGCTTCTGGTCAGCCTGTCCGCATCGCCTCCACACCCGCAGGCTTCACCATGGGCCGGACCGTGGTCGTGCTGGGCGGAGGGATCAGCGGCTTGGCCGCTAGTTACCACCTGAGCCGGGCCCCTTGTCCCCCCAAGGTGAGTGCCCCCCACCTCCGTGCCAGAGGGAGCCTCCTTTAATACTCCTCTCCCATTTCCAGCAAGAGGGAATGCGCCGCCCCATTCCCCTCCTGACCCTTTACGCCGCCGCGGCCGCGGCCGCGGCTATAGGCCGCAGTGTCTCCCTCTTGTCCCCAGGTGGTATTGGTGGAGGGCAGCGAGCGCCTGGGAGGCTGGATCCGCTCGGTACGAGGGCCAGATGGTGCTGTCTTTGAACTTGGACCTCGAGGAATTCGGCCGGCGGGAGTCCTGGGAGCCCGGACCCTGCTCATGGTGAGCGGCTTGTGGAATGCCTAGGAGAGGTTGTGGAGGGACCTTCACTGGAGAACAGAGTGAAGGGGAGCAAGTAGATTTGGTGGTCAGTCCTTTCCTTAGTTTATGCTCTTTCTGAGGACGTGTGGAGCAGGTTTCCGAGCTTGGCTTGGACTCAGAAGTGTTGCCTGTCCGGGGAGACCATGCAGCTGCCCAGAATAGGTTCCTGTATGTAGGTGGCGCCCTGCACGCCCTGCCCTCTGGCATCAGGTAATGCTATCACCTCTTTACTGCCATCCTTCTCTGCTTCCATCCTCACATCCTTTCCATTTCCTCATCTTCCAGTTTGTCAGCCCTCCCAGCAAAAGGGGCCAAATGAATGGAAATGACCCCCTGGAGCTGGGGGGTTAAATCAGAGCTCCCTCTTCACTGTGCCTTCCTCCATGCAGGGGGCTACTCCGCCCTTCACCTCCCTTCTCCAAACCTCTGTTTTGGGCTGGGCTGAAGGAGTTGACTACGCCCCGGGGCAAAGACCCTGATGAGACTGTGCACAGTTTCGCCCAGCGCCGCCTTGGTCCTGAGGTAACACCGCCCGGAAGCCCCCAAATCCCTCCCCTCCTAAACCAGCTGCAGATCCCCATACTCAAACCTTCCACTAGGGCCTCTTCTGTATCATCTGAAAACGCCCTCTTCTCTTCATACCCAGTAGCCCCCCAAACTCAGTGTTGGGGGTGAATGCCTTCATTTCCTTTCCATCCTTCTGTAATAGTGGGACTGCTTTCCAACCAAACCCCACCCCACCCCTATTCTCTGCCAAGCAGGGACAGTGGAAATTAGTGCAACTTATTCCTTGGCCTCTCAATCCCAGTCTCACCCTTAAGGTGGCGTCTCTAGCCATGGACAGTCTTTGCCGTGGAGTGTTTGCAGGCAACAGCCGTGAGCTCAGCATCAGGTCCTGCTTTCCCAGTCTCTTCCAAGCTGAGCAAACCCATCGATCCATATTATTGGGGCTGCTGCTGGGGGCAGGTGAGGGGGGAGTTGGTTCAAGGGTTGAAGATATTAAGGACTGCCAGAGTGAGGGACTGGAAGCAAGGTGTGTTATTTTAATGATTCTTCTCTACTTCCTCCTCTGCAGGGCGGGGCCCACAGCCAGACTCAGCACTTATTCGCCAGGCTCGGGCTGAGCGCTGGAGCCAGTGGTCACTCCGTGGAGGGCTGGAGACATTGCCTCAGGCCCTTAACACCCACCTGACTAGTAGCGGTGTCAGTGTTCTCAGAGGCCAGCCAGTCTGTGGGCTCAGCCTCGAAGCAGAAGGGTGCTGGAAGGTAGGAGAGCCCCCTGGAGTGTAATGAACCTGTCTGTTAGAGTTTCCAACTTTGTCTAAATGCTTTAGCCGGCAGGACTGGAGTTTCTCCTTGTTCTCCTGTCCTAGAAGCTATTTAAATATGGGCTACTCCACATTCCTAGGCCTTATTTGTGGACCTTCCTCCAAGACCTGTTTGATCCAAACCTGTGGATAGAATATATATCAGTGGCTCCCAGCTAGGGGCAAGAACCACTGAGCTCCACTAAACATTTCAGAGTAGCCCACTGGCTTTTGTCTGGCCCACTTCCTGGAGTAATGGGGGGATGATTTTTGTGCTGACTACTTAGTCTGTTCATCCTGAGTCAGCACCCAGTCTCTCTCCTGCCTGGGAAACTAAGGCAAAATTCCCATGATCTCTGTGTCTTTTATTTTATTTTATTTATTTATTTTTTTTGCGGTACGCGGGCCTCTCACTGTTGTGGCCTCTCCTGCTGCGGAGCACAGGCTCCGGACGCGCAGGCTCAGCGGCCATGGCTCATGGGCCCAGCCGCTCCGCAGCATGTGGGATCTTCCCGGACCGGGGCATGAACCCGCGTCCCCCGCATCGGCAGGCAGACTCTCAACCACTGCGCCGCCAGGGAAGCCCTCTGTGTCTTTTAAATGTTTTCTTCCTCTCAGGTGTCTCTAGGGGACAGCAACCTGGAAGCTGACCACATTATTAGTGCCATTCCAGCTTCAGGTAATGTGGTGGTCACCCTCCCCTTCTCCAACCAGGTTGAGGCAACGTAGCTTCTTTCTGGGCCAGCAGGACCATGCCATGTCCCTGAACTGGTCAACCCTGTGGGAGTCTAATCCCAAGGAGGGTTGGTAAAATTGAAGTGTGAATGCCTCCTGAGGCAGGCCTCTGCCTGCTCTCCTCCAGTGCTCAGCAAGCTGCTCCCTGCTGAGGCGGCACCGCTGGCTCGCGCTCTGAGTACCATCACTGCTGTGTCTGTGGCTGTGGTGAATCTGCAGTACCGAGGAGCTCGTCTGCCTGTCCAGGTGTGACACAGAAGAAGGGGAGATGTGGGCTCAACTGGAACTCTTCCCTCCTGACACAGTCTCTTCCTTTTCTCCAGGGATTTGGACATTTGGTGCCATCCTCAGAAGACCCAGGCATCCTGGGAATCGTGTATGACTCAGTTGCTTTCCCTGAGCAGGATGGGAGTCCCCCTGGCCTCAGAGTGACTGTGAGAGAAGGCAGCTTTGCTTAGTGGGAGTTTCCCAAGAGCTCCTCTGTGCCCCAGCGTAGTAAGGCCAGGCTGGTCAGTGCCGTATTCCCTCTTTAGGTGATGTTGGGAGGTTCCTGGTTACGGACATTAGAAGCCAGGGGCAGTGTCTTATCTCAGGAGCTGTTCCAAAAGGAGGCAGAGAAAGCAGCTGCCACTCAGTTAGGACTGAAGGAGCCACCAAGTCACTGCTTGGTCCATCTACACAAGGTAAACACTCCTCAGCTACCCACTGGAGGCATTGTCTACCCAGGCCTGGGACATCAGTGATAATCTTTCCCTGTATCCCCTCTTCTCTCCCCAGAACTGTATCCCCCAGTATACTTTAGGCCACTGGCAAAAACTGGGTAAGTTGGGAAAGCAGCTGGGCTGAGAAGAGCTGTGAAAATAGACCCCCAGCTGTAACATTCCTTTTATCTTTTCTTCCCAGAGTCAGCTACCCAATTCCTGGCTGCTCAGAAGCTGCCTTTGACTCTGGCTGGAGCCTCGTATGAGGGGGTTGCTGTCAATGATTGTATAGAGAGTGGGCGCCAGGCAGCAGCCCGTGTCCTGGGCACAGAACCTAACAGTTGATCCTCAAACCCCACTTCTTCCTGCCCCTGCTCACAGGGATTCTCTCACCCATGAAAATAAAAGATGCTGGAGCGTGGCTTGGTCTGGCTGTTCTGTCTCCTGTGGGCGTGGGTGGGGTGGGTGAGCAAAGGTAGGTAAAGGGTGCTTAGGATACAGAAAGCAGGAGCAGAGGCAAGACAAAGTCCTTTATTAGAAAATATATCAAAATCCCAGCCCCCTGAGCAAGGTCCAGAAGAGGGAGCTACTCCAGCACTGGCAGAAAGTACCCTGGGAGGGGCTTCCTTCAAACACACTTCCTGGGAACCATAAATAGAATAAATATTCACAGAGGTCCCGGGAGAAGTCAGAACACTCTTCTCTCCATGGAAGAGGAAGGGATTTGGGGTCCAGCCCTGCTCTTACGCCCTGGGCAGGGGACTCCTAGGAGTCATCACAGAAAATCATGACATCAAGGATTCACAGTCATAAGCCCTGGCTGGTGACCCTAGAAAGAGGGACCCCCAGGGCTAGAGGAGCCCAGCTCCAGTCCAGCAGTGAGGAGAGGCCCCTGCCCCCAGCACGGCAGTAGAGTTCATTTCCCCCACATCCCCTCTAAGAGCAGTGAGGAGCTGAGGGTGGGGAGAACACAACTCTTCTGATTCAGTTTCATGATTAAGGAGGAGTCAGTGTGAACCATGGGGAGCTGTGTGGTTGGCAGCAGGCAGAGGGTCGGGCCTGGCTGGGGGCCGGCGCTGCAGCATCTCCTGACGGAAGGCCTGGGAGGAACCAGGTGGGTAACGGGGACCAGAGGGAGTCTGAGGACCCCGAGGGTCAGTTCCAATGTCTGCTGTGATGTTGGTATAGAGAGGGCCCAGCTCTCGAGCCAGCAATCGGTATGTCAGTGAGTTCATCCCATCTTGCGTCCAGGAATTCCGGGTTCGGACCAGGAGGTCAAATCTGAGGATTAGAGATTGGAGACTAAGACCTGGAAAGGAACAGCCAGGAATCTAGGAACCTTCAGGAACTGCCTGGCTAGGGTGCAGAATCCTGAGGATCCAGTAATAATTCCCAGGCAGCCCTCCCATCCTACCTGTGGGGATTTTCCTCGTTGCCCTTATCTCCTCGGTGCTTCACCATCTTATAGTGTCCCACAGATGTGGGGGGCCGAGAGATCTTCATCCCAGCCAGGCGTACCCTGTGGGAAAAGTGAGGGCAACTTGGAGGACCCAGAGCAGAAGAAAGCTGCTGACAGGTGAGCAAGAAGAGCTAAGGCTAGCAAGGACGGAATTGCACGTTTCTTTACACAAAGAACAGCTATTGCTAACTAGGCAGAAGAAGTGCCAAGTACTGGAAGGGGAGAGAAAGTCAAACACAAAGAAAGAAATGGCTGAAGAGAATGTAAAAGCCTGGATGTATCCAGATCCTCAGGGCCTACTGCCAGGCACCCTGGGGCCTTTAAACAATTGGCAGAGGTAGATTTGCACCTCCCACCTTTGCTTCCTAAATGGCTCCCAGGAGCTGCCCCTGCAGTCTGGAAAGGACCGGGAGAGGAGCCATTTTCTCAGAAAGGGAGGGCAAGACTGGGAGTCACAGACCCAAGCTCAGCGATTCTTATTTAGACGAGTACTCTGCCACATCCCCTACCCCCCACCCACGTTAAGAAAAGAGTGGAACCAAGTAATCAGGACCTGGAAAGAAACAAACTCCCACTCTGACCCACAGAAGCAAGAAGTGAAGATAGCCTGGGAAGGTACTGAAAGAATACATACATTTAGAAATTGCTGGGTGCTTTACACACATACAGAAGACAAGAATTCATAGAGATGTCATGCCCGAGGACAAAGGGGGAGGAGAAGCAGTGGGTCCAGCATATCAAGGTCAAATAGTCAAATGACAGGAAATTGGGTCAGCTGAGGCTGAAGGTCAAAATGTTTCACATGCTAAAAATAAGTTGGCATCATGCCAATGGCCCAGGCTTTTTTTTTTTTTTTTTTAAAAAAAAAGTGGTTCTGGGCTATGTGGAGCTGAGCCTCTCCTCTCCCAGCCCTGAAAGGAAGTGTGGTTTGGCTGCAACCCTAGCAGAGGCAGGACTAAACTGTCTCTAGGCCCCTTTCCAGCTCTGGAATCCCATGATACTATAGTCTACTGATCTGATCTCTCCCAGGGACATTACTAACCAGATCTAAGAGACTGAAGGATAAAAGAATGGGGAGCAGCATGCAAAGCCTGACCTGGGTAGACTGAAAAGACTAAGGGAGAGGAATGGGCACAGTGCAGCACCAGGGAGCTAAAAGTTAGTGGTAAAGGACTATGGCTAGGGGTGGTCTCACAGGACAGTGATCCAGGCTGGGGTTAGGGAGGGAGGTGGTGGCAGGAGTCTGACCTGGTAGCAATGTCATCATCCTCACCACCCCAGCCCCAGTATTCATTGGGGAAGCCATTCATCTTCAGATACTGGTCAGGAGTGAGCGCCGAGACCCCTCCAAAGTACTGAGGGTACGGGAGGCTGGGGAGAGAAACATCCTTGGATTCCACAAGTCTTCTGGGGGGCCATCCCCCCTTCTTCCACTGGGTGGTGGAATTCCTGCTTCCAGTACCCTCTCATGCCCTCTACCTGTATCCAAACTTGTTCATGGCAACAGCAACATGCCGGGGTCCTCGGGGGTCACACACATACAGATTGTGGTCGTTCTCTGGCAAGAGGTCCACATCATGCAAGAACAAGCAGTCCCATTCTTCATCACGCAGGGCCTCCCGCACCCCAACATTCAGCAGCTTTGCCCTGTTAAATGTTCCATTTCCAGCCTGGAAGATAATGGCGGAGGACCAAACTAGGTCTATAGGTAGCATGGAAAAGAAGCATAAAAGTGAAAAGAGGGAAATCAAAGTGGGATATGGGACAAGGAGAATGAAGAGAAAGACAACGTCTTTGTTTTTTCATTCAACAAAAAATTTTTTGAGCATCAGTATGTGCCTGACACTTACATGCTGCTATTTAGCATTTAATCCCGACAGCAAACCAGCCATGTGGAACAGGTGGTACATTAGTTATCACTCTTTGCCTCATTTTAGCAGGTTGGGGATCCTGCTCAAGGTGACATATGGAACAAGTGGCAGAACCCAGAATTTTAGCCCAAATCTATCCACTTCCAAATTCAAGAACGGAAAAATCATGGAAGATTATAGGACAGTGGGAATATCCTTAAGGAGAAGTATGCGACTAACACGTTGGCAGAGCAGTGCCAGCTGCTGCTTTCTTTTTATATATGTGTGTGTGTGTGTGTGTGTGTATGTATTTTTTTTTTTTTTTTTTTTTAGGGCTGCATTGGGTCTTTGTTGCTGCACGCAGGCTTTCTCTAGTTGCGGTGAGCGGGGGCTACTCTTTGTCGCGGTGGCTTCTTTTGTTGCGGAGCATGGGCTCTAGGCGCGCGGGCTCAGTAGTTGTGGCTCATGGGCTCTAGAGTGCAGGCTCAGTAGTTGTGGTGCATGGACTTAGCTGCTCCGTGGCATGTGGGATCTTCCCGGACAGGGCTTGAACCTGTGTCCCCTGCATCGGCAGGCGGATTCTTAACCACTGCCCCACCAGGGAAGCCCCCTGCTTTCTCACATTCAACAGTCTGACCCTCTTTTTTTTTTTTGTCTGCCCCTCTTAAAATTATTTTAGGGATCCATTATATGAGAGTGGAGTGGAATTTGTTTGAGGCTTCCTTATAAGAAAGAAAATCAGAAGGGTATGGGAATTGGGGGTACCTGGTGGATGACATAGATGCCATAAGCAAGCTGTTGACGTTGCAGGAACGGGTGCAGGTGGTAGAGCAGCAGGCGCAGGTGGTGCTCCCGGGCACGATGGGGCACAATGATGGCTGTTCGGGACCGGGGCTCACACCCTGCAGGGCGGTACCGGCCCCCCGGTTCCACCCGGGGATTCCTCTCCACAATCTCTGCCAGTGACGGCACTGGGCTAAAGGACACGGACACGGGACCCACTGTTGGGAGGGAATGGCAAGGTCAGGGATTAGAAGGGCAAGAAGAACTGTCCCTGGCAGTCTTATTCTGGGGCTCAGCTCCCCCAAGGGCTTGCTCAGAAACCTCACAAGACCTTGAGTTCCCCATCACTGGGACAGCTTTGCAAAGTCTGGAAGGTGAAGGCTCCTTACCTAGACTACCTTCTTATTTGAGGGTTCCATAACTTCCCCCTGCCTCACAAGGTTAGAAGCTTACAGTTAGGGGATGGAGAGAACAGATGGACTTCCAACTAACTCACTAAACTAGGAGTGATCTACAAAAGAAGCAAGTCCTAGCCCAAGGCAAGAAGAGCCCTTAAGTGGGCTGTGGCTCAACCCAAGAGCCCAGTCGAAACTCCAAATTTAGAGTCCATTCTATCTCAACCTCAGCCTCCCTTCCAGTTACGTGAGCCTCCTGTTCTAAGACCCACTCCTGCCATCCTATGCCTGTCCAAGCCTCCCTGTCCCCACACCTTGGCCTCGCCTTCACTTCTGCCTTCCTTCTGCACTCACCTAAGAGAGGAGATCGTTCTGGACAGTAGGGCAGACCTTGAGGAGCTGGGGGGCCCCCTGGGGCAACAGGGGCCCCAGGCAGGTGACTGAGGTTACTGTAGACATCATGGGGATGAGAGTAGTCAAATGTCGGCTCCTGCTCTCGGCCAAATAGAGCGCTGAGGCTTCGGAAACCCCCCAGCGACAGGTACATCATGACAGCCAGCTGGGAGCCCACAAGCAGGGCCAGAGTGCAGGGTCGCTCCAGCAGCCTCCGCAGCATCCTGGGGTGTAGTCTGGAGAGGGAGAGAGGAGAGTGCTGGGGCAGGCAGGAAGAGAGCAAGCCAGCAGAAAGAGATCATTGGGCATGGATGAAGGGGTAAAGGGGTAAAGAGGAAAAGAACAAAGTCACAGAAGGGAGCACACAGATGAATGGAAAGAAATAGAATGCTACCACTATCAGACCTACCACCTGTCACTTCCAGCCCAAGTTTCACTCTCCTCCACCCCTCCCTCAAACCACTCCTATCACCTACTATCAGTCCCCAAGAATGCTTACATCATTCATGTCCCAAGGCCATTTCAGAGCATTCTCTGGAGA